CCCCCCCCTCAGGTTGATTGAGTCGAGTCTCGGCAGCGTCGCCACCAAGCTCAACTTCTTCATCCACAACCTGGCTCAGATGAAGTTCACCTCGTCGGAGGAACGTCTCACGCTGTCGTTTGCTCCCAGAGTTCACACGGCGAAGAGCGACGGCGTCATCAGGAACCTGTACATCTGCAGACACATCCGCACCGCCAACGCCAACAAGGGCTACGTGAGTTCAGGTTCACTGAAACCAGATTATTAGTTCTATTATATTGTTGTCGACACAGGACCTTCACAATAAAAGATTTAATGCAGAACCTGTGTGTGTTTCAGGCCTTTGTGGTGAAAGTGCAGCGTGACGGACAGGAAGTTCAGCTGGTTCAGAGGACGTTTGAAGAGTTTTATGAACTTCACAGTAAAATGAGACTGATGTTCCCTTCATCCAGACTGCCCAGGTACACACAAACACACACTCACACACTCACACAGACAAACACATCATGTTTATACAAAACATTCACAAATGATGGAAAGTGACTTTGAGTGAAAGTGAAGGAACCTCTCCTCTTTGCCCCGCCCACAGTTTCCCAAACCGTTTTGTGATTGGTCGGTCCAGAGGTGAGGCGATGGCCGACAGGAGGAAAGACGAGTTGAACGGTTACGTCTGGCATCTGATCCACGCCGCTCCAGAGGTGGCCCAGGTCAGAACCCGTCCAACCAACCAGGAACACAGGGTTCATATGATGAATCACTAACTGTGTGTGTGTGTGTGTGTGTGTGTGTGTGTGTGTGTGTGTGTGTGTGTGTTACAGTGTGACCTGGTCTACACTTTCTTCCACCCACTGTCCAGAGACGAGACACCAGGAACAACAACCATTAAACCAGCAGGTGCTCTCACACACACACACACACACACACACATTCTTACACGCACACACACGATGACATAAACCCTGTTTTTGTGTCTGATGTGTTACTGTGTGTGTCTGTATTGTGTATATTGTGTGTACAGAGTTGTCCTGGTCTCCAGCCTCAGAGAAAGACTTGGGTGAAGTCAAACTCTCCATCTCCCACAAGAATGACAAACTCTTCATCATGGTCATGCACATACGAGGACTGGTCAGTGTGTGTGTCAGTGTGTGTGTGTGTGTGTGTGTGTGTGTGTGTGTGTGTGTGTGTGTGTGTGTCTATGTGTGTCATGTGATGAGTGTGTATTTAGAAATGAATGTGTTGTACAGATGTTTTTTATATAATGAGTTCAGCTGAACCTGAATACTAACGTTTGTGTGTCTCTGTGTGTGTGTGTGTGT